ACAACACTGGCATAAAGGGTCTGATGTAACTTCATGTAACTTAAATTTAATTCAATTAAAATTTTAATTGAGTGTTCTACGTGCCCAGAGTCACTTTTTTATGAGAGGGGCAGCTGTATAAATACAATCAATCAATAATAAATAAATGTAAGTTCATGTTGTTGCGGGCCCTTTCTTTAACAGGAAGAAGCTCCCTTCTCAACCGGCAGAACATGGCCTTGGACTGGTCTGGCCAGGGGTCCCCCAGCAAATACCTCTGAGTCATCCCGTTGGAGCGCTAGACCTCCTTCCCTCCCTGGTTCCTCCAGCAGCATTCAGAGGATCAAAAGTGAGGACATTTACCTACAATCTGTTTTCCAGAAGGCCTGTTGCTCAGTCAGGGTTTGCAAGAGTTGAGCAAGCTGGAAGGAAATGAAACAGCAAGAATCCACAGGCCCAGATCAGGGACGACCAGAAGATGCTGAAAACCTGAGCTGTGCTGTTCGGCTGGAATATATGGCAGATTGTTTACAAGGGGCAGCATCGCAAGAGGGCCAAGGGGAAGCTTGCAAGGCGATGCAACAGCGTTGGGAAACCCAGTGGCAGGAGTTCCTGAGGACCCTTCAGCCCAGTCATCCAGGGGGAGGAAACCCTGTGATGTCAGAGGCCTCCCCTTGGGAAGACCCCAAGGCCTTCTTGGCCTCCTTTGAGCAGGTGGCCGAAGCCTGTAAATGGCCTAAAGAAGATTGGACAGCCCGTCTTCTCCCTGCTTTGTGTGGAGAAGCTGAGGAGGCTTTCCAAAGCTTAGAACCCAGAGATCGGGAAGACTATTGGAAAGTGAAGGCCGCCATCTTGAGAGAGGAGGCCATCAAGATGGAGGTGCAACGCCAACACTTCAGACAGTTCTGCTGCGAGGAGGTGGAGGATCCCCGAAGGATCCATACCCAACTCCAGGAGCTTTGTCACCAGTGGTTGAGGCCTGAGAAACACACCAAGGAGCAGATCTTGGAGCTGCTGATCCTGGAGCAGTTTCTGGCCAGCCTCCCACCTGATCTCCAGAGCTGGATCCGAGCAGGAGGAGCAGACACGTGTTCTCAGGCGGTGGCTCTGGTGGAGGACTTCCTGTTGAACCAACAGGAGGATGAAACAAGGAAATGGCAGGTGAGTTTTCATTTCTGGAGTTCTGTTACAATGTGGAGTTGAATTCACACAGAACGTGGCAAAGGATTGGGAGAACCTGGCCCGTGTGTTTTATGGGTTAGTGGTCTGCATGATCATCCAAAGGTAGTTTACTGAACCAGTCATGGTGTTCTCTGCAAACCCAGCCAGAAGATTTTGGCAGTACAACTTAGGGATTGATGGAATCGTTCAAGTCCCTGCTGAAACTCTGTATCCCAGTCTTGGGATGTGCCCAATGCAACTTCCCCAACCTCCAGATGTGAAAGGACAATTCCTCTCAACATTCCTTGCCAGCAGAACATTTCTCTTGGTCTCCCAGCAGCCCTGCAAAGCTGGCTTTGTGTTTCCAGCTACCTTCCCCCTCCCCTAAAAATAAGGAAGTAGCCTGCTCCCATCCTTTTCAAAAGCTCTGATACACAGTAAGTATAAAATGAAATGCAACCACGAATTACTAGCCTGGAAGCTACAGGCCACTTCTAAATCTGGCAGAAGTCCCCAGCTTTTGATGTTGGGCAAGGTCAATGTGCCTTAACATCTTCAGGATAGTTTAGATAAGAAATGCATAGGATACAATCATTTCCCAGAATGCACGAATGAAGAACAAGCTGCATCTGTAGGAATGTTGTAGTGCTCCTTAAAATCAAAGAGCTGTGAAGAGAGAAGTAGTCAGACTCCTTCACTCTATGTATTTATCTTGTTTGGCATCAAAGAATGTCATGAGAACTAGTGAGTTACTCGGACATTTTTTGTAAAAAGGAATACTAGAAATACTGCAGTGGGAACAGACCACTGGTTCCCACTCTGGTCTAGAGACCTCTGGTGGTGGGTGAAGGACCGGGAACTCTGTCACTAAGCAATGTGGTCATAAAGCTGAAAATCATGTGACCGCGCTGACTTATGATGGCTGTTCCAGCAATTCTGGTTGCCATCGTTAAGTGAATCCCACGTGGTCAGTAAGCGAGACATCACGTGACCGTGATTTGCCACTTCCTACCAGCTTCCCCACTGACTTTGCTTGTGGGAAGCTGGCAGTGAAGGTTGCAAATGGTGATTACATGACCGCAGGGATGCTGCGATGGCCGGAACTTTGAGGACTGATCATAAGTCCCATTTGTTCAATGCCATCGTAACTTCGAATGGTAATTGAGTGAGTGGTCATTAAGTGAGGACTATCTGTAAAATTAATTTGTTCAAAATAGCTCAGATCTTGTCACATCGCCAAAGCTTTAACAGATTTCAGGGACACTAAAATCTGGTGAGATTTGATGATAGTTGGAAGTCAGACATTTTTTAAAAAATGTGTAAACTTTTAAAAAAATGTGTAAAAATGTGTTTACTCAGTGTTGGGGTTCCATGAACAGCAGCAGGAGTTCCCTGAAAGCCAAGGGACAGGGCACAAGTGCCAGGGGACCAACGGGTTCTGCTCATTCTTGGCTTTTATAACAGGCCTCAATAGTTTTCAATAAAATAGATTTGTATGAAGGTTGGGAACGAACAAATTTGGGGTTCAGTGGTGCAGAACCCTCAACTCCGTTGCCTCTGTTTGATGTGATTTTTTGCCTCTTGTTTCTCGGATCACTGCAGGAGGTGTGCCTAGGTTCCCTAGATGTGGAGGAGGAACAGGACTTGGACCCCGGACACGGGCAGATCTACAAAGAAGGCGAGCCGAGCAGTAGCGGGGAGATCGGTTTACTAGGTAAGGATCAGCAAGTGGATGTGTTTGTAGCGTGGTATTATTGGAGCAGATCTGGACTGTATCCTTCTGGTGAAAGAGGGCCCCGTTGCGTGTTTTCACTCAAATCCTAAGGGTCTGATGTAGCAGCTGATGGCCCTGATTGCCTGTGAAGGCGAGGGAGGAGTGAATATTTATTTCTTTGTGAGGTCCAAAGATGTGCCTTGGACTCGCATCAAAATGGATCCACTTCCTAACACGTTCCTTTAAAGAATCCTGAAGTATTCTCCTCAACAGCACCCCATCCAACCTTCAAAGTAAATGTAAAAGCTAGAAGAAAGCATCAGCTTAGAATCCTCTGATACAGTTTCTTTCCTGTGTTTTAAGTGGTGATCCCTGATGTTCACAAAATTCCTCACACACTTAGGCTCAAAATCATTTTTACTCTTGGGAGGTGAATAATATATATTTATTCTTTTCCCAAATAACATCCTTAGTTGGCAGGACTTTTAAAAACTTTCCATTACCGGGAGCATCAGGCCTTTCTGCATTGGGTGAACCATGCAAACTTAATAATAAATGTCTGTGTGTGTTGATGTGTGTAGGTGTGTGTATGTACACACCCAGATGCTTCTGTGTTTTTTAACAATGTGAGAGAAGAAAGTGATGACAGTCTGAGAGGGAAAAGGTGGTCTGCATGAAATTATCTCTTCTCTATCACTACAGGTAATCCTCGCTTAACAACCGTTCACTTAGCAACCGTTCGAAGTTACCACAGTGCTAAAAGCGGCAACCAGTGCCTGAAGTTACAACCATTGCAGTGCCCCCACAGTCACATGATCGCGATCTGGGCGCTTAGCAACCAGCTGGCATCCTGGGGTCACGTGATTGCCATTTGCGACTTCTGGCAAGCAAAATCAATGGGGAACCATGTGATTCGCTTAACAACTGCAGCGGTTTGCTTAACAACTGCTGCAAAAAAAGATCATATCATCGGGTCCGGTCATGTGATGGTTTGCTTAACAATTGCATTGCTTAGTGACCTAAATTCTAGTCCCACATGTGGTCTTTAAGCGAGGACTACCTGTATGTGCAAGAGAGCTCACTGAGGCTAAGAAAGAAGAGGAAGCATTTCAAAACATCATGAATGAAAAACACATGGATGTTTCATTACCAGACTTATTTAGGGAAAGAGCCATTAGTCTTGGAGCTGCACATTCTGGGAAAAAGGAGTTCAAACAACTCACAGAGACCCCACCCTAATGAATTCACTCATAAATGGGGGGAAGTTCCTTATTCCG